AGGCTTTGCATAAAAGTTATAGACTTGCATGTCTTCTTTTTGTAAAATTTTGAACCATTTTAATTCGGTGCCTAGAACTACAACTATGGTCTCAACACCGACTAGTGTTCTCAATTGTTACGATATCCGAATTTCTAAATTGACTTTACAACCAACTTTGATAGCCTCAAAAAAAATAGATTTGTGTGTTTAAACCTAAATTGGAAAGATTAAGACATTCACTTTAAACCTCAAGAAGGCCTCTTCCATGTTCCGGAGGTTTAAGGATGTGAAATTCATATATATTCCTCTAAAATTGAATCTACTAGCATTAAAATTTTGCCTCAATTAGCTCATTTTTTCTCATCCGTCTCTAATTTTCTCCTAAATCACAAAATAAACATTATTCAACACATATAATCCTAAAAACACATCTAAAAAGATAAATATAAGAGAATGTATATAATCGGTATTGCCTACTATCAACATGTCATACGTAAAATTCAATAAAGAGATTTAATCAAAATAATTCAAATAATACACGAATCAAATTCTTATTGTTATTATTGTTGTTGTTTTGTTTTTCATGCTATTATTTTTTTTAACATCATCCTAAAAACATAAAATGTGTCATATGGAAGATCTAATTATTACTTTTTTAATCTTTACTAACAAGTTAAAATAATTTAATTTAAATGGCTCAATCTTCTTTTGAATCCATTTTTCTTTACTCGGATCAAATTCTATCGACTAAATATGGATGAAGTAGCACGATCTTAGCAATCAATTGTTATCATAATTTCTCTTTAAATATCAACTTCACATAATTGTGAAAGAATTCTAAATTCTTTTTTATTTTAGCAAAGCTTTTGAACTCTCTCTCATGAAACTTTTTCACTCATACACTATATATCACATAAATCTACATCTATTTGGATTTTTGTGACTTGCTTACTTGTCATTTGATTTATATCTTTCTAACACTGTATGCTTTTTCTTTCATGTTTTTCATTATTTTTATTTATTCTACTTTATTGGTGTACCATATCATTACACTGTATACATCACTTAAAGATCTATCTATTGAAACTTTTATCATCCACCTTCCCATCATTTAGCTTGCGTCTCCCTTGAGTCTGACTAGTATTGTCAGCTTTTCTTTTCATATTTTTTATTTGCACTCATTTTATTTGATTAATGTATCGTCTAATATAATATATCTTACTATTTGCACTTATTTTACTTGATTCCACTCATCTTATTTAATTAACGTACTCTTATTTACAAATCATAACACCAATTTTTCATGGTCTGATGGATATGGCAACTGGTCGTTCACTTGCTTTCAGGAACTCCCGTAATGTACTATATTATGTATGGCCAATGATATTCTAACATCAAAGACTGCGGCTGTCTTTGGATTTCCGATTAAAGGCTGTCGATGCTAGTCTTGCACCTCCACTAGCAGTATGGGTATGAATTAATTAATTTTGTCTTATAGAATCCGCTTTTGGAGCCTGCTGCTACAAAGGCTGGACCATGACTCTATGAGGAAGTTATCGAGAATCGCTAACTCTTATTTGGGATAACTGCACCATTAGTACATCAAACTTCCGTTTTTATTTTTTGATGAGTACATGGAATTTAATTTTATAGATTGTGTCAATCTAACTACTTTCACAAAAAATCCGTCAATCAATTTTTTATTTTATTTTTTTATTGTTGACTTTCACCATCTAACTTTAAATTCGAGACTTTTTAGAAAACCTTCCTTTAAAAACAATATTTTATTTAATAAATAAAATTATTCTTAAATCAAAATAAATATGTTTACGTTGTTAGAAATTAACAATTGGGTAGCCCAAAACGAATCCATTTATGTTTACAGTGACATGATATCCATTTATTTGGTTAAATTAATAAATATTTAACTGTATTAATAAATTACTTATTAGGTTTTATTAATTAATAAAATAGTTTAGGCTCGATGCAGATGACATGCATTTGATCTGAACAAATAAATGAACTTAATTTTAGTATTTAGAAACTAATCCAAATATAGCAAGATAGTAAAATAAAGTGAAAATCATAAAAAATAAAGAAAGTAATCTTTCAATTGTTATTTTTACCAAATAAAAACAATTACTTTAAATTAAAAAAAAATCATAACTATATTCATGAAAAGACCTTAAACTTCTTCTTTTTTTCCCCTTGATATATATACAATGAGGATCTTTTTAAGCAAAAAAAAAAAAAAAATGATGCAATATGAGTAAAATATTTATTGCATAAAAAAGAGTTAAAATTAAACATATTTTTATTTATAAAAGGTAGGTCCATTAGAATTCAAAGAAAAGACAGTGGGTCCAGCATAAATGACAAGAAAATGATAACTACGTCAGCACTGAATCCTATGCTTTTGGCTATATAATAATATCATAAATCTTATACATCCTCCTTTATAGAGAGGTGGGGGTACGTAAATATTAAGATGGAATGCGCCGAATTCGGACTCATTTCTTATCCCAAATATCCACTTGTACCCTACCATATCTTAATCGATTGGCATAATTTTTCTGTTATGCGTATATTTTTATAAAATGATGTTTTTTTTTCAAAATCGAACTTTGTTATTCAGCATTTTAGACTGGTCATGTCTTCAAAGGTATTCTCAAATGATCATCCATTCCCACTGAAAGAGGCTAGTTTTTTTACCCATATTTCGCTACGTATAAGATAAAACATGTAAATTTATTTTAAAAAATAATTTTAATTTAATAATATATATTATATTATTGATATATTAAAATATATCAAATCGAAAGTAAAAACAAAACTATTATTGTTTTTAATTATATATTTAACTAATTATTCATTATATTTTTTTTATATAAATTTTTTATTAAAAAGAATACGATTTATTTTTCTATATCTGAATTCTTAACTAAAAATTTGTAAAAAAAAATGTAAAAAAACTTTTTTTCTATAATTTTTTTTTCAAAAAAATCTAAGACAAACTATCTAGAAAACAATTTTAATCTTTAGATTAAATATATATATATATATATATATATATATATTGCAAATTATTTTATAAAAAATTGATATATATATATATATATAACCATGCTACTATCATTTAAAAATTTAAAAATATATATATCATATAAATTATATCAATTTTCATTGAAAGAAGAAATAACAATATTCTAAAAATTTATTAAAAAATTCACACCTAAATCTCTATGTCCTCCCTCCTCTCTCATCGTTTTTCTCTCCTCTTACTAGTTAGGAATCATATTATAATACAAATAAAATTGTAGATTGAACTAAAAGCTCGTTAAAAAAATGAGAGACAAAAGAATTTTGGATTTATTTTTTCTTTTGATTAAATTAAATTTGTAATTAATTAATTAATTAATTATATGTTTCTATGATAGTTAATTAATTTCAAGAAAAAAATATGATCTGTTGGATTATAACTATTAAAAAGTAATAGTTAGTCATTGAATTAAACTGGTTTTTTAACAATTATATTGGTTATGAAATATTTCTAGTAGTCTATAAATAGAGAATTACTACTCAAAAAATAATAATTTTTTCTTTCGCAATCCTCCTCTTTCTCTCAAAACTCTTTTCTTCATAAAGTTCTACAACTTTAAGAGAAATTCTCTTGAAGGAATTTCAAGAGTGATGTTTGTTGGGGGTAATAATCACCTTAAGGACAATATAGAGATATTTTCTACACACAATTAAACATTGTGTTCTCTTGTTTTCATCTTCGAATTTTTGCATCTACTTTAGAGCTATTCAACACTTAAAATCACAAAAAAAATGCTGTAAAGTGAATAGTGTTATGTAAGTGTGTAAATAGTCTAAGAATAATAAAAACCTCACCTCTTTTTTTTAAGGTTCTTTGTATGTTTTTTTTTTAAGCTAAAGCATATCAAGAACTCCTAAGTTATTGAAAAAAAAATTAATTACACCATACAAATTAAAGATTATTTTCTTTGACTTATCAAAGAAAATAATCCTTAATTCGTATGCTGTAATTATTATTATTATTTTTTCAAAATTTTAGAACCAAAAGTAAAAAACTTTAAAATGCCCCTCATCCTATGCCATCACAATCTCTTAAGCACTACATATAATATTGCCCAACATATGAAAGGGAGTAGTCGAGGGGAATTAGAGAGAACACTTATAAGTCCTTTTTTTATATATATAAGAGCAATTTTTTAGGCATTACAACATGATAAAAAAATTCCTTGCATTAGCGTTTGATTATTTTTATATATTTATTTATTATTTTCTTTATATAAGAGACCTAAAGGTCTAATAATTCTAAAACCTAAGAGCCTCAGACTGTTGGAACACATTACATGCTCAATGAGCAAATCTAGATACCAAACATCAAGCAAAAGCTTACGTCTGGTTAATTTTTAAATTCTTAATATTACTGGTTTGGTATATTAGATTCTACTTTAAAATAAAAACACACAAATAATGTAATTTTTACATGTTATAAATTGTTACCTAAAGATGCATTGAAAAACGTTTTTAGAAAACAAAATGACTCCCTGATAATTTAAAAATCCATAGCATTTGTAATCTAATTGTTTCAACAACACTAAAAATTGCACAAATAAAAGAAATAAAAAAACAACCAAATTTGTTAAACAAACAATAAAAATCGACGAGTATAAAAATTAAGATCTAGATTGATATCAAATACCAAAATAAAAAAATTGGAGACTGAGAGAATCAATCCATCCATCTCTCGTAAACAGATTCCATTATCTCACAAATTTAAACCCAAGGCATCTACTAATATTAGGATTTAGCAATCAAACAAATCATCGAAAATAGCTAATAGCTTTGGATTTGGATATGTTTATAAAATCTAATAACAACTCTAATTCTACAGGTTATTGAGCTAACCTAAAATCTTAGAAAAAAGGATATGAGTTTTGTTATTGTACACCTCTAACTCCCAAAGCAACCACATATTATTTGCCCTTTCAGTAGGCTAAGATGAGATGACCCTTCTGGATTTCAACACCTTTCTCTCTCATGTCCATCCAAGTTGAGCATGCTGCCCCTTCATCGTCGTCTCTAACAAACCCAGCCACCCCATGCCCTTTCTAACAAATCCAGCTAAGCAAGTTGTTACCTCGCCATCCTTCCTGACAAACCCAGCTAAGCCAATACCCCTTTCGTTGTCTTCTTTCATGAACTAACAGCTACGCCGCCTCTTACATCTACAGACCCTTTGGGTGCCCCCTTGCCGTCCTCTCTCACAAACCTAGCTGAGCTAACATCCCCCTCCTCATCTTCTCCGACAAACCCAGAAGCCACCAAACCCACCTAAACCTAGCCAAGTCGTCCCTTATCTCCACACACCCTTCGGCTGGCCTTCCCAACATCAATAGATCTTCAATCACTTTTTCAATATGACAGTAGAGATAAATAATAAAAAATTAAAAGAAATAAAAGTAAGAGTGTTATAAGATTTAGAAAGAATTGGAAAGAAAAACATGGAGAAATCTATGAATGTTTTTGGAGAGAGAGGCGAAATTAACCTGACTTTTCTTCTTTCAATTATGGCAAAGAGAGAGAAAGGTTGACAAAAGATGACGTGTGGGGAAAAATGGTAACGGATATGGGAAGTTACAAAAAAAAGGCATAAAAATGCCAAGAGGACAAAAGAAAAGGGATGACAAAATCCTAATGTCAGGATAACCTATTGACATAAAAGGCAAATAATGAAAAAATCTAAGGGCGAAAGAAAGAACTCGTAAGGACCAAAAGTCAAAAAAAAAATCAAAGGACTAAAGGCGACATATCAAGGGATGAAACTACATGCGTGCAGAATATTTAAATTATTTATAAATAAAAAACTGAAGATCCAACAGCCCACAACGCGATAACAAGAAGAATAGAAAAATCAAAAGGCCCATGGACAAGTAACAGATTGAGCATAGTCCAACTAAGTCTTGTATACAATGCAACCAACGATGATGAACAATTTAAAAACAGTTTCACCTCGTATCTTTTAGAGTTTCTTGTAATGTATCATTGGCTTGCAAATGCAATGATTGATCAAATAAGATTATTACTAATTAATAATTGAAAAACAATGATTAAACAAACCATATCAGTGGGTACAAAAGATTCCCGGTCCACGTGAATGATTCGGCAAATTCTATGTGGACACAGTAAGTTGATGAATATAATTCACTAATTAAGTGGTAGCTATTTACGTTCAGCACGGAAAGAGAGAGAACATGACTAAAATATTGAAGTAATGGATGACTAAGATGCGCAATTACAGGAATATAGATCCGACGCATCTTCCACCACCAATGGTCGCATGTATTATAGTCGATCACTAAGGAAAATTTAACCAGCCATCATATATAAGTGTTTTGTGGTCCTTAGTTTGGCTAAAACCAAAATTCTCTCCTTGTCTTTCTCGTAAATTCATTAAATAAGTGTATGTGTTTTCAATTTTTCTCAAATTAAATTTCAATTCCCTGAATGCGCATTTTGTAAAATCAATAATTTTGATACTTTGATTGAAAGAAAACAATAATATAATATATAAAGCAAGATCTAAATATAATATTTATACACACATATATTGTATTTTTATTCAATTTAACGTATAAAAAATTATTAATTTTAAAAAATTGCACATAAATAACTGAAATTAAAAATACACTTGTTTAATTGATAAAACTAAAAACACATGGACTTATTTGATAGATTTATAAAAATATAGAGTACAAATAGTGGGTTTAGCCCATTTAGTTTCATTTGTTTTTGGGGTAGTTTGAGTATCAATTTAGAGTAAGTTTTTATTTTTCAAGTTATCTTAAATATACATTTTTCATAGCGATTTGGTACATCCAGATTCAGAAAAATAATATTTTTAAAATATTGATTTCAATATTCCAGCTTAGAAAGTAAAAAAAAATTAACAAATCTTTTTGACAGTCAAACCAACTCTGTAGAGATTAAACATGCACACATAAATTGTTGACCACTCCATCAAATCAAATTACGTTTAGTTTTTATGTTAATAAAAAATTGGAACACCTTTTACCAAATAATAATAATAATTTGAACACTTCCATCTCCAATTTGAAAATTAATGTTGGACTTCTTTGGTATTTTCATAATTTATATTTTTCAAATGATCAATTTAACCATCCCTTCTATATATGATGGTGCAATAATTACACATATAATTAATTAATTAGTACAGTATTGAATAAATAGGAACCAAATCTTAATTGTCTACATAAAAAGAAAATTAGATTGAAGGCAGTGAAAAATTTTATATTCCACCACCTAAGCTACGATCGGATTTGGCGGATTCTTTAATGTTTTCTTAAAAACATAATGTACTATATATGTTGTAAAATTCATTATTAATTTTAAATTTGATGATTGATTTAAATTGGATGAAAGAAAAAAATATAAAAATACATTTAATTTTTATCACATATATAAATTTAATATTTTGAATATATAACACAGAACACTTTGAATTGTCATGAAAACTAACATAATTTAAAAAGGGGCTTACATTTCTAATTCCTGTTACTGACGCTGATAATGATTGGAATACAAAGAAGCAAAATTTGATAGTTCTTCAATCCTTTTGGCAAGCAATGGCAGTTGGCAGAACCTAGGCTCATCACGTGGGATCCACTTTCCATTCTGGTGGGTCCACTTATAAACAAGTGGAACAGACTCCGAACCACACACGACTCCCCTCCCTCCCTCCTTCCTTGAACTTGAATAGCCCAAAGCCAAACAAAACAACGAGAGTCAGTTGCGGTGGCTGCCTCCTCTGTTGCGGTGGTTGCCTCCTGCCTCCTGCTGTTTGTTTGGCTCTGCAAATTCTATCTTTCTAGATTTTTGCACAAGCTAGCCCAGTTGGCCATGGCAATCTGTAACAACACAAGCACACCAAAACCACACATATTAGTTATAATGATAACTCACTTGCAGTTCCTACTCTGTATCTTACCAATACTGTTAGCAACAACTAGTGCTACTACCGCTTCTGCTGTCATGTTCTCTGGTACATTTATTAATAACTATTCCCGTTATTATTGAATGTTGATAACAATAATAATAATAATCATAATAAAAAGATGGTATTTTTGAAGGTAGTGAGGAAGATTTATATGCTGAAATCTTGAGAGACGAGGCTGTGGCAAGACTCAATCAACTTGGAAAGGTACTTTAAATTATTTTTACATTTTCTTCTATTTGTTAGTGCTTTCTTATAGTTTCATGGAAGATTAAACATCGGAAATGGTTAACTGGTTGTTAACTTAACAAATAACAATTGTTATAATATGTCAATTAAAATGATTGGCATTAACTGAAGATTAGCTGTGGAGATTGAGATTTTCTGTTTTGGCAGCTATACGTAGTCTCTCTCTGTTTTTTTTTTTGTTTTAATTATTATTATTATTAGTAGTAGTAGTAGTATTGTCAACGTCATATTCTTGGAATTTTTGTCATTTCAATAACCAACATGATAAATGGAATTTGTTATTTCAACAAGAATCAGCCCTGAAACCATGTCAACGCCTTTCTGTACAAAGAAACCATATAGGATATATAATACTAGCAATGATGATAACACTAAATAAATATGCGAAAAACAACTATAGTATCTTTGAATTTATGAGAAAACCTCTATTATCATTAGTTTGTAGATGTAATTAAATTAATCTAAATTGCAATTTTGATTTTCCCCTGTTGTTTCATCTGAAGGGTAGCAAATTGAGTGTTCCCGAGCGTTAATGTTATTTTCTGAATTGGCAGGTGAGCGATGCTGATGGTTATCTCGAGAGGACCTTTATGAGCCCAGCTTCTGTAAGGGCATCGAATTTAATTCGCTCTTGGATGGAGGATGCTGGTTTGACGACGTTAGCTTCTTTTCTTTCTTCCAATACTCTAAAAAAGATGTGTAGAAACTCTTCACTAACATTATGAATTTGTAAATATACTGGTTGAGCCCAGATGGGTGGACCATATGGGCAATGTACATGGTCGAGTTGAGGGATTAAATGCAGGTGCTGAGGCTCTATTGATTGGTTCTCATTTGGTAATTCTTTTATTCTGTATCCCTTCCACTAATCTTTAAATCTTGTTGTTGCATTCCTTTGATTTTATCCTAAGTTTTTTATTTCATTGGTACTATGTATTGAGACAGTGCATACTGCGTTTAAGAACTGATGGATGACAGTTCTTTTGACACTAAAATAGGATACTGTTGTTGATGCTGGGATATTTGATGGGTCACTAGGTATAATCTCAGCAATATCAGCTCTAAAGGTTTTGAAAAGCAATGGAACTTTGACAAATCTAAAGCGCCCGGTCGAGGTGAGTGAAGTATCTGCTTCACTAATATCTCTGTTAACATGTTGCATGAGTTTTTCTCTCTATGATAGCAACAATGTTGTATTTGTTTAAACAACAGAATCACTGTTGCATGTTCCTAGAGGTCTTTCAAGGTGTTTATTACTGTTCTCATAATCTCATCTGAACAAGCTAGAGACAGATTTGCATAAATTTGCCAATTCTAGATTGATGCTGACCAAATAATTGCATGCTCCAGAAAACCTTCATTTCCTACAATAATTAGGGAACGGGAACCTTTCATGAATAAAATGTCTTATACCTGCTTTACATCCTGGGAATTGTTTCCACTTGAACAAGGGGAAAAGAAGATGACCATAATATTCTCTTGGGCTTTTGTGGATGCCAACTCTCCAATAATGGTGTAGCTACTGCAGTCTCGGCTCTCTGAAAGTATTCTTGGTGGGTTGTTCATAAAAGAGCAGAACATGCTCTAATTGGATGATTGGTGCCTGGTGCATACAAATGAGGCATTATGTCCTTAACACGTGCGTGGTTCAAATACCACTTTTCATCATATCTTACTAAAACTTGAACAGGTGCCAGAGTTACTCCAATCCCCTGATGTTTAACTCCTTAGGCAGTTGCTGGACCCTAAAATCGTTCTAAAATGTAAATTGAGAATTTGAATATTGGAATGGCTATGCAGAAATTTCACCTATTTATGTGATTTTGTTTCTGTATTGCGCCATCTGTGCAGGTCATTGCATTTAGTGATGAGGAGGGAGTGAGGTTTCAATCAACTTTCCTTGGCAGCGCTGCTGTAGCTGGTATTTTACCAGTTTCAGGATTGCAGATATCTGATAAGAGGTTTCCTTGAGTTGTCTATTAGTCCACATCTGCCCTTAACATTGCCTGTTATGGTTTTACTTACATGTATTCCTTGTTCAGTGGTGTAAATGTGCAAGATGCTCTTAAGGAGAATTCCATTGCAATCACAGAAGAAAGTCTATTTCAGCTCAAGTATGATCCACGAACTGTTTGGGGTTATATTGAGGTAAATTATCCAACACTGATAATCACGGAAGCAATTTTATACTGGCTAGCCAATTCAATTTTGGTTATGCTTCTCAGAATTTTAACTTCTCTGTTTTTAGTATTTCAAGTTTGCATTTCTCAATGCTGCAGGTTCACATTGAACAAGGACCAGTACTAGAATGGGTTGGTTTTCCCCTCGGTGTGGTTAAAGGCATTGCTGGACAGACACGGCTAAAGGTACGCTATGTTTTCACTTTTCAGCATAAATATCAGAACTTTTGTCATTTTTGTTCGCTGAGGTGAGAAACAAAGACTGTTGATGCTTGGAATTTTGTTGTATACCAACAGTTTTTACTGGAATTTACTTCTGAAAAGGGATCACAAAGCGTTTGAAAGGGCTAAAGCCCACTGAACTCAAAAGTATTAAAAGAGTTTGCCCAATATAGAAGAGGTTTTTTTTTTTTTTTTGGCTACATAGGAGAGGTTCGAACTCGAGAACCCCTGAAGGGAGGGGGCACTATTGCCAGTTGAGTTGTCATTGGCAAAAGAGTCGAAGGATAAGAAAATGGAATTATTTTTTGTTTTCCCTGATAATATTCCTTTTTCATAATTCCAAGTTCAAGACCACTTGATTGATAGCAAATAGTAGAAAAAAATTGTGCTTATTCAAGTCAGTGATATTTAGCTGTGTTTATTTGGTCGTTCTACCTCGTTCTTGTAATAATGCTTCGAGTATTTGGTCCTATAGTGTCCGTATCCATCTGCAATCAATCTTCAGGTTATTTTTGATTGAGGAGTCTTCCTGGCACAAACTTTGCAGGTTACAGTGAGAGGTTCACAAGGACATGCTGGAACAGTCCCAATGTCCTTGCGTCAGGACCCCATGGCTGCTGCTGCTGAACTAATCGTATTGGTGGAAAGTATATGCAAAAATCCTAAAGATTTTCTATCTTATGATGGTCATTGCGATGGTTCCACAGTGGAATCTCTTTCCAATTCCCTTGTCTGTACTGTTGGAGAGATATCCACCTGGCCAAGTGCAAGCAATGTCATTCCAGGCCAGGTAAGATTTTAGTTTCTGGGGACTGCTGTTTTTGACGGCAAGTGCAAATGAGGTGCAGTTCCAGCAATTCAGCAGTTGTTAATGTCCAGCTCAAGAACTTCTTGATTGCAGGTTACTTTTACTGTGGATTTACGTGCGATGGATGACATGGGACGTGAAGCTATTCTTTACACATTATCTAATCGAATGTATGAAATATGTGAGAGGCGTTCTGTTTCTTGCATCATTGAACGTAAGGTGAAGACTAATCTTATTATGCATTTATGTTGTTGCGAGTATAAATAACAATGAGTCTACTGTCTCTCTCTCAGCTTTTTTGTTGTATTAGTTTTTTTTTTATTATTATTTGTTTGACGAAGGCTGGCGATTGTTTCAGCATGATGCAAATGCTGTAATCTGTGATTCAGAATTAACTTCACAGCTGAAGTTTGCAGCCAATGCTGCTCTGAAGAGAATGACTGGCGAGATTCAAGATGAAGTTCCTATACTGATGAGTGGAGCAGGACATGATGCAATGGCCATGTCTCATCTGACAAAGGTTTGTTCATTCTAAATCCATTAACAAGTGTTAAGAGTAACTTTTGTCTCCATCTTTTTTCCTGGTCAGATCTCCAAACAATAATCATTTGCATGGCGTGCTTGTTTTTGAATAGGTTGGAATGCTATTTGTCCGCTGTCGAGGAGGCGTAAGCCACTCTCCTGCAGAGCATGTACTGGATGATGATGTTTGGGCTGCTGGTTTGGCAATCTTAGCATTTCTCGGGACGCACATGTAAATAAAACGTAATTCGACATTCTTGTACAGGAAAATAATTTTTGTAGTGCAATGCATTACAATGATTTTTGTCCATTGCACAATCTCTCTATAATGCTATGGCTGATATCATACATTATTTAGTTTCAGGAGGGGGCGGATGTTGAGGAAGATATTTAGAATTATGATCCATGGTAAAAATTACATTATGGAAAATAAATGTTTTTTTTAATCAAATTATTAAGGGTAAAATAGTTTCAAATAGATATATGGAAGATGACAGAGAGAGGAAAATAAAAACTTTTTAGAAATACCGGTGGAATTTAAATTTCTTTTAATGCTTTCCTTCGTATCAAAATCCTACTCATGTACAGAAACCAATAAAAAATCCTGAAGTATCTAGAATCCATCTCACACATGGACAAGAGATACCAAGCCCTAAAACCAAACCGTGTCCTTCTCGTGTAAAATCCCCGAACCACATACAATACATTCGAGTTCTTTAGTTTTCGCTAGAATTCTCTCTTCCTTGCTTTCTGTTTCCACTTCGCTGACTATGATTTTCATTTTTCTCTCTTATCATTCACAACATGGGAAAATTAGCAGTGGAAGCAATTGGTTTTGAGCTTTTGGAAACTAACAATCAGATTGGAGATGCATACTTTGTCGGCCAAGATAAACAGACAATTGGAGTAGCTGCTGGTTCTGGTGAGTCCCAAAAGGGCAAATATGCTCAAGAATTGATGTGCAACTGTTCCATTGCTTTTCTTGGTCAGAGAAGGGCTGTTGATCGGAAACGAATCCTCAAAATACCCTATGAAAATACGAAGACCAAAGGAGCTTGCACGACTTGCATTGCCAGTATTCGAGGAAATCGGTTGCATTATGCGAGTTTCAGAGACATCGACTGATGCTGTTTAGAGGCCAAGAAGTCAAACACAAGTCAACGTGGTTTTGATGAGGCATATCAACTAGGGGAAACAAAGCTATATATCATCCAAACTTTTCTAATCACGACAAAATTTTGATACAACCAGGACATATCATAGTTGTTGGAACTGATGGACTGTTTGACAATGTTTATGCTTCTTAGGTTGGAGAAATTCTCAGTCAGGAACGAGGAAAATCAACTGCAGATTTGGCTTGCTTACTTGCAGAGTTAGGAAAAGGCCACTCCCTGACGACAGGTATTATTCTCCCTTTGAAAGAGCTTCTGCTTTGGCTCACGAATCTCACACTGGATATTACACTAGTTGTTCGAATGATCAATTCAGTGTAGTAGTGCTTATAATAGACTAGTTGTTTCTTTAATCTGAAATTTCAATTCAACGTAATAGTGATGATGGGTTTGGTGGAAAGTTTTTGCATCAGAAGAATGCAGAATCCCGTTTATCAGCAATGTTTGGTTTTTGTTTTTTTCCCAATTGTTTATGTCATATTCTTTGAACCATTGGAATTCCATTAATACCCAACCCAAAGTCTATATAGAATCTCTTCATTAATATTGGTAACAAACAATATAAATTTAATTATAGTATTTCTGCATTTTTTTTTTTTTATAAAGACCCTTTGTTTATTTGTCATGCTCAATTTTTTTTTTTTTTCTATTTGAGTACATTCCGTCGTATAAGAATGTTAAATGTTGACATTCTACTGACACATAGAAAAAAATAGCCCTGCTCAAAATGAGAATTATAACTTCAGTGCCCAATTTTTAATTTTTGTGGTGTTTGAATGCCTAACTTTTTATTTAACCTATTTGAATGATTAATTTTTGAGTTTTTTATTTTTCCTATTTGAGTTTATTTCATCACCTGAGATTGTTATATACTGACGATCAATAACACATAGCAAAAAGTATTGTTCAAAATTATTGAAAAAAAAAACAATATATATACAGGTGATAGAAATTCAAAAAAAATAAAAAAGATAAATGAAAACAGTAAAAAAATAAAAAATGATCTTAATATTAGATCAACTCAGCATCTTTATTATACTAACCTTTTATTTCACTAATTTGAATTATTAACCTCTAATTATGTTTTTCATTTAATGCATTCCATCACTTGAGATTTTTAAATATTGATGTGGTCGGTACAACGGACATATGATATATTTTTTTAACTGATATGTAGTAAAAAATGAGACTTACTCAAAATTATTGAAAACAAAAAAAATATATAAAAATTAGTTTAAAAAAACAATATATATAAAGGAGACAGAAATTTAAAAAAAAAAAAAAAGACAAATGAAAATAGTAAAAAAAAAATTGAAAATGATGTTAACATTGAATCAACTAAGCATCCTAACCTTTTATTTCGCCCATTTGAATTATTAACCTCTGATTTTTTTTATTTAAATGCCTTCCATCACTTGAGATTGTTAAATATTGATGTTGTTGGTATCAACTCAGACGTAATATCGTTTTAATAATATGTAACAAAAAACCAGACTCATTCAAAATTATTAAGAATAAAAAAATATATAAAAATTAGTTTTGTACTCACTAAACATGCCTTCATAAATTATTTGAAACTGAATAAAGAATAATAGATTGAAAAGCTGATGGATTATATGTTAACCAATGAAATTTGAGAATGTCGTGAAACCTTGCATAAAGGAAACCGTATAATTTTTGAACTGCTTGTCACAACCCAGATGAGTGACGAAAAATAACTTCAAAACAAGGAACTTTTGAGAATCTACTCATACGTTGAGCTGCTGCAACATTAACATTATTTTTGAAATTTTTTTATTGTTTCTATTTGTCTTTTTTTTCCTTTCTTTTTTTTTCTTTTTTTTTTCAATTTCTACCGCATTATATATATATTATTTGTTTTTTTCTCTATAAAACTTTTTGCTATGTGTTAGTATAAAACTGTCAATTGCTAGTTGATATTAACCGCATTAGCATTTAATAGTTTTAGATAACAAAATGCACTCAAATAGAAAGAGAAAAAAAAAAAAACAAAAGTTAATCACCCAAATAAATAAAATAAGAAATTAGATACTCAAACAAAACAAGTATCAAAAGTTACGCACCGAACTTACAATTTTCTTTAATTTCAAATATTAGCTAATATCAACTACATCAATATTTAACAATCTCAAATGACATAATGCACTTAAATAGAAAAAAAATCAAATATTAATCATTCAAATAAATAAAATAAAATATTAGACACTTGAATAGAATAAAACCAAATGCATTATTAAAAAAAAAAAAAACTAAAAATTTGGGATGAGTTGCTATTCACAGCACTATTTACTCACGCTAATGTGCACCATTCAACTAGACTCGTGTGCAGTATTCATTTTTACTATGCAGTGACATTTTGCTATTTTAAGTTTTTTTGGACATTTATATGAAAATTTGACATTGTATTTCATTTAGTATTGATATTTCTTAAAAATATTTTTATTCCTAGCTGACCAAGCACTCATGCTTGCCCCTTTTTTTTCTTTTAGTTTTTCTTCAGCAATATATTTTATTTTTTTATTAGTAAATTGAGTGCGAAAATTATAAAAAAATCAATTTCTTTTTCAATTTTCCATATAGGCTGCGATTATAAAATATATACAATATGTTTTCAGATTTTAGAATATATATGTGTGTGTAATTATATTATTCTTATTATTTAAAATTGATCTCTTTAATTTTTCATTTTTTATGAAAATTTTCATCAAATTAATTTTTTATTTTTTATATAATTTTATATGTTAATAAATATAATTTATTTTTCTTTATGTATGGATTTTTGAACAAGTTTTTTTTAATAAATAATCAATTAAAAATAAAATTCATGTGCTTATTCTTTATATAATCAAAATTTATCGAATCAATTTTATAGTTCTTTTTTATTACAGATCTATTAACTTCAATATATTCTTTACAATTTAAGTTTTTTTAAAAGCATTTTTTTATTTACATTATACACTCTGATCTACTAAGTATGGTCAATTGGTCACAATATATATAAAAAAAAATTAAAATCATTAGTCTTATTAGAAATTAATTATGCATCTACACACATAAAACTAACCATTTGCTATTGTTTTTTCTAATATTCTAAAATTTTTTCTTTTTCAAATAACTATTTAAAATAATATTTTAAAAGAACCACCAAACAATTCAAATAAAATATTGTATACTAATATTATTGATTATTTTTTAAATAAATATATATAAATCAAATGTACATATTTTTTAAAATTTAATCTTCTAATCAACATAATTGTTATACAAGTTTTTATACCAATTATTTTTTTATTTATTCAATGCAATCTTATGAAAAAAATATTAATATGTTTTTTAAATTTTATATTAAAATTTTTTAATTATATTATTATAGGGTTTTTTTACTTAAAAATGAATGCATAAGGAAGAACAAATTGTGTTTTTTTACCTACAAAATTTACGAAAAACCTAAATAAATAAAATAAATAAATTTTTTTTATTAAAAATTATGAGATTAATTTTAGAATATTAAAAAAAAATGGTTTGTATTGTATGTGTAAATGCATAATTAATTTTTAATAAAATTAATGATCTCAAACTTTTTTGTTTTTGTACATCATAACCATATTCGAGTAAATCGAGTATGCAACATAAATCAAAAAATATTTTTTTAAAAAAATAATTGTAAAGAATATATTAAAGTTAGTATACTGTAATAAAAATAATAAAAAAATTAATTTCAATATATTTTTTTTATATAAAAATAAGCAAATAAAACACATAAATCCTAATTTTTAATTGATTATTTATTTAAAAAAAACTTATTCAAAAATCTATACTCAGAAAAAATAAATTTTATTTATTAACAAATGAAATTACATAAAAAAGAAGAATAAAAAATTATTTGATTAGAATTTTTATAAGAAATAACAAATTGAAAAGATCAATTTTTAAACAATAATTATTGTGATTTCTTAACTACAAAATTTATAACAAACAAAAAAAATAATTAAATACAAAATTTTAATTAAAAATTATGAAATTGGATAAAAAAATATTTTATC